CCCCCCCCCCCGCCACCTCTGCCCCAGGAAGAAGTTGGCTGCCATCCACAGCCCTTGTTCTGAGGACTCCTCCCTTCTCTCTCCTCTGTGCTCCCCCTTCTCCCAGTCCCCTGCCCTGATTCCTGCACCCCATCCCTCACTTTTGCACCCACCCCCCCCGCATCCTCAGCTCTCTGCCCTGACTCCTGCACCACCACCACACCCCACTTACACTGCTAGACCCGTTTCCTGTAGGACCCAGGCAACACCAGGTAATTCTTCCAGTAATATACATACAGGTCTTTCGAAAAATAACATGTAATGACCCAGTAGCTCATGACAGGTGAGCTTGGCAGTCTCCTACAAAGGAAGCAAAACATTTAACAGACTGTTATCATGCTACCTTGACTGTCAATAGAAGGAATTGTTTATACCAATGTGCCCTGGTACATTTCCTGAACCCTACATTTGAAAACTGATTTCCAGTCATCGTCAGACTTGAAAATGCATTAAAATATCAAGTTCTAACATCACTTTTTGTGTTTCTAAAAACAGATTTTTCTTCTTTTAGCTTCATGTTTCTTTTTTCCCTGCAGACTTTGCAAGGATATTTCAGAATACAGTTCTGGATTAAAGAAAAGGTGAGATTCCATGTGATTTTTAGATAGAAGGTTTAAATTTAGCTATAGCTCCATAGTTGTTAATACACTTCAATGAGAAAAAGAAGTTATGCCATCGTGAGTGAATTTATCAAGTTATGATACCTCATTATTCTGGAAAACAGGAATTCTCTCAGGGATTTAAATTTTACATAATAACCACTACCGTGTTCTGTTCAGAGCTGGGGATAGAGAGGGTGATTTAAATGTGTACTACATAACTAATTAACAGCATGTCATTTTCCATCTAAATTTACATATTTTAACCCGAATAACAGACAAACCAGTTGGGAAAAGAGGTCAGCTAGAAAGCTGGAAGTAGTAATCACCATTTCTAAGATAAAGCAGTATTGTGAGGAATGCTAAATTTAGATGAGAAAATGTGTTTGGATTGGGAATAGGTAAAGAAGATTTCCACTTTTGGTTTTTCACTTGATTGTAATTAAACAGC